GCACGCACGGCACGGGTGTGCATGGACCCCCACCCAGCACCCACACGGGGGGGTGCGCGGGTGCCCCCCAAAGCCATAAACACACACCCCCCCCGCAGCACGTGGGTGCAGAGGGGGGACACCCCCCGGCCCCCGCGGGCACCAACCAAAGAGCGTCGGCCCATGGGGGCCCCTCTCCAGCACCCCCCGCCCCGTGCCCCCCCCAGCCGGGGTGGGGGGACCCCCCCTGCACCCCGCGGCCGGGCCAAGACACCTCGGGGGGGGGGGGGGGGCAGGCGACCAGAGAGGAACTTTGGGTTCAGTTTGGGTTTTTTTTTTCTAATAAAGATATGAAAGCGAGCCGGGTGCAGTGCTGGGCGCCGGGGGAGGGGCCTGGGGGGCACTGAGGGGACATGGGGGGGGCACTGGTCCTGGGCACGGGGGAAGGTTCATGGGCTGCCCCTTTTTCCAGGTAGATTGGGGGTCCCCAGGGTGCTCTTTCTGCCAGGTGGATTGGGGGGTCCACAGAGTGCCCCTTCTTCCAGGTGGGTTGGGGGTCCATGGGATTCTCCTTCTCCTGGACAAGTTCGCTGTCCGTGGGGTGCCCCTTCTTCCAGGTACGTTGGGGGTCCATGGGATACTCTTTCTCTTGGACACGCTCGCTGTCCATGAGGTGCTCCTTCTTCCAGAAGGGCTGGGGGTATCCATGGGGTGCCCCTTCTCCTGGGCCAGTTGGGGGTCCCCAGGGTGCTCCTTCTCCCAAAGAACATGGGGGGCCATGGGGTGCCCTTTCTTCCAGGTAAGTTGGAGGTCCATAGAGTGCTCCTTCCCCTGAGGGTCCATGGGGTGCTCCTTCCCCCGGGGGTCCACAGAATGCCCCTTCTCCCCGTCCCCCCTCCTAGCTGGCAGCGTCGAGGCTCTGAAACTTCTGCCGGAGGTCCCTGACGAGGCCGTGGCGGGGGGGCTTGGGGGTGTCGGGGCAGCGCCGCCGGTACTCCTCGGAAGCCTGGTAGGCTTTGCAGCGCTCCACCACCGCCTTCAGGCAGATCTTCTCGCGGGTGGTGGGCGAGCGGATCTGCACGTACGTGGGGGGCTCCGGCAGCCGCTCCAGCACCAGCACCCGCTGCCCGGGGCCCAGGGGAGCTTCTGCCGCCACCCACAGCGCCCCGTCGCTGCTGTGCCTCGCCGGCGCCGGGCTTGGGCTGTCGGATCCCCCGCTGGCCTCGGCGCTCCGGCTCCGGCCGCCGCCGCGCTCCTTCCCGACGGGGCGCCCGCCCCGAACGGGACCCTCGGGCGCCGAGCGGCTGCGGCTCACGGGCGGGGGCCGGGGGGCGCCGAAACGGGCACGGAGCTCCCGCACGTCGGGCCAGGCGAAGGGCTCGGCACCCACGGGGCTCGAGGGGCTGCGGGGGGCACACGGGGCCGGGGGCACCGCCAGCCCTCCTCCGTCCCGCGGCGCAGCCGGTGAGGGCGTGCTGGGAGCGGGGTTCCCGTCCTCCCTCGGCAGCGGGGGCCGGCGGGCGCCGGCGCGGCGGCTCTTGATGCGGAGGCTGTACTGCCGTGCCAGCTGGTACACCTTGGTGCCCAGGTGAGGGGGGGTCAGCAGCAGCTGGGGGGGAGGCCCCGGGGGTGACCCCCCGGCGCCCACATCATCCTCCTCCAGGATGAGCAGCGGCTCGGAGGGCTGCACCCCGTTCTCCTGGCACGGCTCCGGCGCCTCGGGCTGCGCGGGGGGCTCGGGGCTCCCGGGGGGCCGCGGGAGCCCGTTGAGGCGGGACACGGAGCTGCGCACCAGCCCCTTGGGGATGAAGGAGAGGCTCTCGCGGCGGCGCACCCCGAAACCGGCGTCGCGGTGCTCGGCGTGGCCGTAGTAGCTCTTGATCTTGTCGAGGAGCAGGCGGTCCCGGTTGGAGAGCAGCGATTCCCGGCGGGCTCTGGCGAAGGGCTCGGGCGAGGGGATGGTGCTGCAGGAGCCCCCGGGCTCCCCGGACTCGAGCGGGGGGCCCCCGTCCAGGCTGAGGGTGCTGCCGCCGTGGCTGGGGGCGCGTCCCAGCGGCCCCTCCAGTGCCAGGCTGCTCCGCCGGGACAGGCTGCTGCCGCCGCCGAACCGCTCGGCGATGACGCTGGCCTGGTCCAGCACCGAGGGCGGCAGGATGCTGGCAGCTCTTTCCTCCTCTCCTTCCTCCTCCTCCTCCTCCTCGCTGCTAAGCACCTGCAAATCCTCTGCAGCGCGCTCTGGCTCCCTGTCCCCGCTGGGCTGCGCCGGGGGCCCCGCCGGGGATGGGGATTTGGGTGCCTCTGGCACCTCACGGTGCTCTGTGGCGCTGCCAGCGGGTGAGTGGGTGCTGGGTCCCTGGGGACCCCCAGGTGGGGGCTGCAAGGCTGCACTGACCTTCTCACAGCTCCCCGGCCCCCAGCTGCTCGGCCGTTTGGGTCCCTCCAGCACCCGTGGGTGTCCCCCGGCCTGGGCGAGAGCAAAGGTGGGGTGTCATAAACTGGGGGGGCACCCAGGTGCTACAAGCAGGGGGAGTCCCAGCCAAACCACAGCTTGGGACCCTGCAGTGGCCCCGGGAGCAACACAGGGTGCCCTGGTACTGATGTGGGGTACCCCAGGAGTGGTGTGGGATGCTCTGAGAGTGATGTGGGGTACCCTAGAAGAGATGTGGGATGCCCTGGGAATGATGCTGGGTGCCCTGGAAACAATATAGAGGGCCCAGGAGTGATACCAGGTGCCCCGGGAGTGACACTGGGTGCTCTGGGAGTCATGTGGGGTGCCCTGGAAACAATATGGAAACATCCCGGGAACAACACTGGGTACTGCCCAGGGAGGGATGTGGGGTGCCCAGGAAGTGATGTGGGATGCCGCACTATACTGCGTGCCCTGGGAGTGACATGGGGTACCCCAGAAGCGATCTGGGGGACCAAGGTGGGTACCTGCTCTTCCTGGGGCTCCACCAGCAGATTCCCAGCCTCAGGCAGCTCTTCCTGGAAGTCCTTGCCCAAAGCCTCCTCTCCCTCCTCCTCCTCTTCCTCCTCCACCATGCCCTCAGCTGCTGCCCAGGCTCTGGGGTACTGGGAGGGCTCCCCCCCTTCCAGGAGTGCCCCATCGCTGCCAGAATGCTGCACGGGGGCAAGGGCAGGGCTCAGCACACCGTGCCAGGACTGGGGGGCACCGGGCATGCCAACCCACCCACACCCAGCCTTACCTTCAGCCCTGCCAAACAGGAGAGAGAAAAGCAGAGATTAGGGGGGTGCAGCATCCCAAAATTGCCCCCACAGCCCCTGGCCGCCCCTCTGCCCGTCACACCGGTGCCGCAGCCCTGCCAGCTCACCTTGCTCGCCCAGGTGCCACAGGTTGTGCTTGGCGGGCTCTGTGGGGAGGTGAGGTGACAGCGGCATCACCCCTGTGTCCCCAAACTTGTCAGCACCCCGAGATCCCCGAGCCTTGCTGCCATTCGCACCCGACTGCCTGCGCCCCCCGTGTCCCTGCAGCCGTTCCAGGAGTGTCTCCATGTGCTCCTGGTGCTGGAAGGGCTCTGTGGGGACAGGGACAGGGACACCATCAGCAGCCGGTGCCACCCTCCCTGCAGGCATTGGTGTCACCCAGCCATGGTTTGGCCCAGGTAAGTGGTGGAGGTGGTGCGGTGTGGACATTGGGGACAGAGGGAACACGGGGGACACTCAGGACACTGGTGGCACGCAGCTCTCACCGGACTGCCGGCGTCCCTGGAGTGGCTCGGTGGCAGTGTCACCCAGGGGCTGGCAGGACCAGCTCTTCTTCAGGCGCTCAGGGCTGCAGCGGGGCAGGCGCGGGGGGTCTGTGGGGACAGGGGATGACACGGGGGAACACGGGGGGGGACAGAGGAGGGCAGGGAGGGAATGGCGGGATGCCGGTGCCACTCACAGAACAGGTCCATCTCCAGGATGGCTTCCTTAGCCTAGGTGGGGGGAGGATGAAGAGAGATGGGGGTGAAGGTAGGGTGCAGCTGCCCCCCACTCGCCATGCTGGGGGGTGCCCAGTGGCACCGAGGTGCCATCCACCTCAACCTCACCTTCTGGGGGATGGTGGCGTGGTGGTTCTCCAGGATGAGCCGCTTGATGTGGTGGGTCCACATGCGCTTCTCCTCCACACTCTTGGCCTGAGGGGAACAGGGAGGGCACTGGGGTCAGGCAGGGGGCTCCCAGGGGGGGCCTCCAGGGTGCCCAATGCCCCGTGCCCCCTTACCTGCAGGCTGTGCTGCTGCTTGCCGTGCTTGTAGTGCGCCAGGCTGAAGCACAGCGAGTCCCTCGTGCTCTCGATCAGCATCAGCGAGGAGCACTGCAGGGAGAGGCATCGGCATGCCCAGAATGCACCAGGACTCCCACCCCAGAACCCACCGAGGTCCCTGACCCCCACTCCGTTCCTCCATCCCTGGCATCCACCGGGGTCCCCGGCACTCAGTGGGCTCCCCCATGCCCAGCACCCCCCAGTGCCCCATCCCTGTCCCGCACCGGGATGTGGCTCTTGTACACGTAGTGGTCCCCGCGGCGCTTGGTGATGAGCAGGGCCTTGTCGAAGAGGAAGAGGGCACGGTCGTGGCGCACCCGCTGCGCCCGGAACGTGCCCTCCAGCACCAGCTCCCCGTAGCTCGTCAGGTCCGGCCCCTTCCAGCCCAGCAGCAGCGACTGGATCTCCTGTACGGACACACAGGGGACACAAGCATCAGGACACCTGCCACAGCGCCCACCCAGTGCCCCCCTGGCAGCGGTGACCCCCCGGTGCCCACCTGCTGGCGGATGGCGTGCTCGTGCTTGCGCTTCATGTCGTTGATGTACCAGGCGACGCAGGTCATGGTGTCAATGGCCTCCAGCACCAGCTCGTAGTCGTCCCCCGCCTTGTGCTCGAAGTGCCGGGCGATCTCCTGGGCACAGCACGTGCCATCAGGGCAGTGCCCACGGGAACGTCGTGTGCCAGGGGAATGTGCCCTGCCAGTGCCTGGACTGCTCCAGGGAACCTGTGCCAGGTGCCCGTGCCACAGTGGGTGCCCACACCGTGCCGTGCCATGCTCCGGGCGCTCACCTGGAGCAGCAGGTGGTACTTGAGGATCCTCTGGACGGGCTTGAGCAGGTAGGCCCCAAGGGGCAGTGCATGCCGCAGCCGCTCCTGGCATTCCCGCAGGAACCGCGCCTGGACCTTGCTCCTCATGCACTCGGCCAGTGCTGCCACGGAGCTGTGGGCAGGGAGTGGGCTCAGACCCCTGCCCACCCCTGCCCACCTCCCTGCTCACCCCCCTTTGCCCCCACTCACCTGGGGTAGTTGTTGCAGTACTGGGTGTAGATGGTGAATTCCTGGCTCTGCGGGCAGAGGGAGCGTGGCGAGACCTTGGCACGGCTCCAGTGCCCCCCTGGAGCCCCCCATGCCCCTCACCATGCCCGCCCTTACCCGGGTGACAAAGCACACGGCCACGGCCACGGGGTCACTGGCACAGCTCTCCAGGTTCTGCAGGAGGGTGCTGGGGGGCACAGAGGGGACAGAGTGACCACAGCCCCCCCCACTCACAGGACAGGGTGGCACTCCAGTGCCCCACATCCCCCCCCCCGGTGGCACCTGCTCCCCCACCTGCTGAGCTCGTAGATGTCCTCGATGTTCCCGAAGAGCGCGCTGACCTGCTCCGGCCGCAACACCGGCTCCTCCGCGTCGATGATCTTGCCCAGGTAACCCTGCCAGGCACCCACGATGGCAGTGATGCCCCCCAGACCCCAAACCCCACCCGAGGGGTGTCCCCCCGGGTGCCCCTCCTGCACCCACCTCCACGATGCTGCGCAGGTCACGGGCGTAGGTGCGCTCCGACTCCACAATCTCCAGCACCACGCGGTCCAGGTAGCTGGGCTTGGCCCCAGGACCCCCGAAAGGTGCCAGAGGGTGCCCGCTGCGGGCACCCGGCCACCCCCCCGGGGCCGCATTGTTGTTGGTGTTGTGGAGCCCCTCGGCCCACGGCTCGGTCACGGCACCAGCCGGATCCTCCATGGCACAGCCGGGCTCCGGGCTCAGGGCAGGGCGCTGTGGGCAAGCGGGCACTGGCATCCCGGCATCGCCTGGCACCGGCGGGGCACAGGGCGGCTCTGCGGGGGGAGTGGCGGGGTTAGGGGGTGCAGGGATCCCCCAAATCTGGGTGGTGTGCAGCACCAAGGGGGGGTCACCCTGATGAAAAGCCCTGACGGTCAAATTCCCCCCCCATGCCAAGGGGTGCCAGCATCCCCCAACCCTGAAAGTCCCCGGATACAGCACAAAGGGATCTCGGCACAGCCCACTGCAATGCTGAGAACGGAGGGTTCAGCCCCCCCCTCCTCACCCCACACTCGGGGACTGTGCTGGGACCAGGTGGGACCAGCGCCATTGCCCCCACCCAGCGGGGCTGTGCGTCAGCGCCGCGCCCGCGGGACACCTTCCAGGTGAGCTCAGTGCCGGCTCGCCCTTCCGGACCACCGGTGCCACCGGGATCCTCCCGAGCCACCAAAACTGCTCAGTGCCACCAACACAGCTGAGGCACCAAGAAACAGCGGCTGGCAGCAAAGCACGTCGGAACAGCGAGGCCACCGAGCCCGGTCACCCCGGAGAGTGGCCCTGGGGACGGTGACCTTGAGCCAGGCCACGTGCTGTGCCGGGGACATGGCCACCCGAGCCCCCCGGCACCCCCAGCACCGGCACCCAACCGGTCAGGCCGGTTCCCGCCGGCGCCTCCCCACACCCACCGTGCTGCCTGGCCGCCATCCTGCCACCGCCCTCCCCGGGGCTTCCCCAAGCACGCCAGGAGCCCCCCAAAAAGCCACCGTGGTGCTCCCCAAGTGAGGTCCAGCCCCACAGCCCCAGCGGTGCCACAGCCTGGGATCCTGGGTGCTGGCACAGCTGGCTCTGCCGTGAGGCACCTCCTGGGCACCCCAGATGATTTGGTGAGCAGCCCCTCCAAACCCTGAATTCCTTAGCCCTATAGCAATGGGGTACCCGGCCCCACGGGTACCCCGACTCCAGGGGGACACCCAGCCCCATTGGCAGCCCGTGACACCGGGGTGCCCGAGCATCCCCCCTGGCACGCTCTGACCCCCATCCCACTCTGCTGGGGGACAAGAGGGGACTCCCAGGTGGCACTGGGGGACCAGACGGGGGCTCCCCCACGTGACACCCGGCCAGGGATTTGTGGCCACTGCAGTTCGTCCCCAAAGGCCAGCCCCGGCCACCCTAATCCGCTCAGAGCACCGGGATTACGGCGCCGTTCCCACGTCACCGGGACCGTGGCCACTCGCCTCGGCCCTCTGGCCACCTCCGTCCCGCCCCGGCGAGCGCGGGGGGGGTTGATCCTCTTACTCCCCCAGTGTCACCTCGGTGGGCACACGGCTGCCCAGAGCCCCCCGGCTCCCGCCTGCTCCGGGGGGGATTAGCTCTGACTTTCATCCCCCGACCCGCCGCAGCCCCCGGGTACCCCCAGCCCCCGGAGTGCCGACCTGGGTGCAACCGGGGGGCTCCCGAAAACTCCCCAGTGGGGGAAACTGAGGCAGGGGCCGGGGTTGTGCCGGTGCCGGCGGGAGGGAGGTGGGGTTTTCTCCCCGCCGTGGGATCCGCCTGCCCCGTTGCACATTCCAGCGCGGGAGTTGGGGCGCGAGGCACAGCCCACGGCGTTTTCCCAGGATCCCGGCACGGCACGGCACGCCGGGAGAGGGGCCGAGGCGCGCCAGCCCGCCGGAGCCATATAAGGGCAGGCGGTTCACCATTTCCAGGCATTTTCCAGAATCCCAGCGGCCTTGGGAACGGGGAGGTCCCCGCGGCTCCAAGCCCAGCTGCCGCGGCCGTCGCTCCCGGCCCCGGCTGGCACCGCCGGGCCCGGCGGGCACGGGCTGGGCGCCGGCGCTCCCGCCCGCGGGGACACCGGGGGTCCGGCACGACGGGGGTCCCCGTGTCAAGACACTCCCGGGACACGGCGGCATCGACTCCGCGAGGCTGCCAAAGCCTCTTAGTGCCCGGCGCCCGTGGCGTCCCACCGCCTAATCCCAACGGAGGGGCGCGGGGCACCCCCACTCCACAACGGGAACCCCGTCCAGGGGTCACCCCGCATGCCGCAGCCTGTCCTGCACGCTCCGGCTGGGCCTGGGGACCCCCCACGTTTCCGTGGGTGCCTGTCCCGGGAGTTTCCCAGCGCTCCCAGGGCCCCCAGTCCACTGCACCCCCCGGGACCCAGCCCTGGTCACCCCAGGATCCACAGCTCCCGTGGGGACCCCCAGCTCCTGCCTCACTGGCACCCACAGCTCCGGGCATCCCTGGATCCACGAATCCTGCCCTTCCAGGACCCGTGGATCCTGCTCCACCGGGACCCATGGATCCTGCCCCACGGGAGTGCAACGGCTCCCGCCCTACCGGGACCCACGGATCCTGCTCCACCGGGTCTCAGGGATCCCACTCCACTGGGATGCAACGGCTCCTGCCCCACCGGGACCCCCGGATCCTGCCTCGCCGGGACCCCCGCTGCCGGGCACCCCCGGGACCGCCCCCTCCCGCCCGGCGGGGACCCCCGGCTCCCCCCCGCGGCCCCCACGGCCGTGCCCCGCTCCCGCCCGGGCCGGACTCACCGCGCTCCGCTCCCGCCGCCGCCGCCCCAGCCCGTCCCGTCCCGCCCCGTCCCGGTCGTGCCCGCAGGAAGCGGCGGGAGCGCCCCGGGGCGGGGACAGTGGCCGCCCCGCCCGGCCCCGGGAACGGGGACTCCCGGGAATGGGAGCGGGATGGGATGGCAGGGAGCCTGGGCGGCGTGTGGGGCACGGTCCGGTACTGTCCCGGTCCCTGTCCGGACCAAGTATGGTCCCGGTACAGCCCAGGTACTGTCCCGGTACGGTCCGGGTGTGGTCCAGGTACTGTCCCGGTGCCGGTACGGTCCGGGTATGGTCCCGGTACAGTCCCACTAAGGTCCTGGCACGGTCCTGGCACAGTCCAGGTACTGTCCCAGTACAGTCCAGGTCCCGGTATGGTCCAAGTACTGTCCTGACCCATTCCTGGCACGGTCCCGGTACTGTCCTGGCACGGCCCTGATGCTGTTCCGGGATGCACCCATGCACAGCGTGGGGGGATCCCACACCCACCAGGGCACCCGTGGGGTCACTGCCCCACCACGGGCACCACGTGCCACCAGCCGTGGGGTGGATGTGGGGCACCCCCCGGTGCTGGGGCAGGGTGGAGGGTACACCCAGTCCCCCTCTATCCCACCTCTGCCCCTTCCGTCGCCAGCGCCCTGCTCTGGCACTGCCGCGATGCCTGAGCCCCCAAATCCGGCTGCACCAGCTCCCCACGGCTCCCACAGCCCCACAGGGGTCTTTGACCCCAGATAAAGCTGAGGGGGCAGCTGGAGACCCCAGCCCCCTGCGGCACCTGCCACCAGAATAGGCCCATTCTGCCAGCGGGAGCCTTGTGCCACCGGCGCCGGATCCCGCTCAAAGGCTGGATTGTTCCGAGTGGAGCGGGAACACGGCCAGGCCCGGCACCAGCACTGCGTGGCATCGTGGGGGGACGTGTGGCACCCGTGGGGTGGTGGGTGGGGTCCCCGCTGCCCTTGCCAGCACAGGAACACATGCTGTGCCAGCAGCCGGAGCGGGACACAGCCAGGATGGTGGCGGCTCCTTCACCGGGATGAGATGTGGGCACGGGTGGGTGCTGGGGGCTGGATGATGGGTGCTGCTGGGGGCACATGGGGCTGTAACCACCCCCACTAAGCCACACCCGGATCCTGTCCCGTCCCCCATGGACCTGCCCCGAATCCCATGGACCCTTCCCACACCCCCTTCCCAAACTCCCCACCCCAAATCCCTCTCTCCTTCCCGTCTCCCCAGAGCCCCTTCTTGCCATAACTCCTTCCCTTCCCCTCTTCCCAAATCCCCTCCGCAAACCCCCTCCCTGGACCGCTCTTCCCCGTATTCCGCCTCCACAGATATCCCCTCGCCCATATCCCCTCCCCAGACCCTCTCCCCCTCCTTCCTTCCCTCCCCAAACCCCCCCATTCTCCCCTCCCCGGACCCTCTCCCTCCCCTCTCTCTTGCCCTCGGTCCTCCCGCCCGCCAGGGGGCGCCCCGCTCCCTCCTGCCCCCCGTCCTCCCGCCCGCCAGGGGGCGCGCCCCTCCCTCCCCCGCAGTTCCCGTCGTGCCCCGCGCGGCCGAGGCGGGAACGCGGCGGCTCAAGATGGCGGCGGCGCTGGCGGCGCGGAGCTGCCTGGAGCTGAACGCGGCCGGGCGGGCCCCGCCGCGGCCCCCGCAGGAGCTGCTCTTCGTGCCTCCCGGCACCGCCCCCCTCCCCGCCGGCCGCTACCCCGACAGCGCCGGCGGCTTCTGCTACCAGGAGAGCGCGCAGCTCGCGGCCGCCACCAGGAACCGATGGGTGCGGTGGTGAGTGCGCGCACCCGCCCACCCCACCCC